TACGCACTAAATTGAACTAGGTTAGGAACAAACAGACATTATACCAACAACTAACAAAAGAAATGCTGAATCTATTAAAACATAAAAAAAACTCTTTAAAAAAACTCAGAATAATAGTTTTATCTAACGTATTTTTCGTGTTTAACTTGGAATTGTAAAACATTTTTCAAAACAATCATTTCACTTAAAGTACTAGTAAAAGTAATACATTTTGTGTTTTATTGACATGACATATCGTTATATATACATGCATGGAATGCCAAAATTATATATATTCAAATATTTGAACCTATCTTCAAATAACTGTACCTATCTTAAAACAGTTAGTATTGAACCCATCTTCAATTGAATTTAAGATAAGTCTAATTGAATATATGTCTAAATGAATTAAAGATAGGTGTAAATAATTAAAGCTATCTCTGAATAATTAATCCCTAGTTTCAAATAAATTATACTTATCTTCAATTCAATTGAAGATAGGTTCAATCGAATTATTTACAGTTAAAGAAATACCTAGTCAATCTAACTAGTCTGCCTCGGAAATCGTCCGTCGTTATCAGTGATTATTCTAAGTACTGGCTAAGAAAGTGGGTAGTATGTGTCTCATTGAAGGAGATCGTATTGTTACCAGAAAACATAGTGAAAGTTACTCTTAAATTCTATATTTACTAATATTATTTAGTAAATTTACCAAGTACCAAGTAAAACCACTTTTGAGGTAGTGATTGTATTGACAGTAAATTTATTAGTATTCATCGTGACTTTAATGTAATTTATTCAGTTTATATTTATCTTTTAAAGAAAGGTACAATTAAATTTAGATACAATTGATTTGATGATAGGCACAGCTGAAAAAAATTCACATAAGAATTCAAGATACTAGGTACAGTTCAATTGTACAAAAGTATAATAAGTTTTCTGTCCTTGAAAATAAGGAAATTCCCCCATGACAGTAATTTAAACACAGAGAGAACTGTGCAAAGTATTTTTGTTGGGAGTAGTTATATTGTCATTATCTTAATAATTAAAGACAGATTCAAATTTTTTTTAAAATCAACTTTACCTCTCTTTAAGTGAATTAAAGATAGGTATATGTAAAGTAAACCTATATTTAAAATATCTACGATAAGGTATAATTGATTCAAAGATAGCTTTAGGTACAGTTGATTTGAAATTAGGTACTATCAAATGAAGATAGGTATAAATATTTGAATTGATGTTAATTTGATGTTCCATATAAATAAATATGAATCTAAGAACTCTTTTCCAGTCCTTTTCAATCTTCGATTCATTACATTGGTTTATAGACATTTTTTTTTCAAAAATGATGAAAATGAATTTTAAAACATAGAGGTAAATAAGTTTTGCCACCTGAAAGTTTTACTTTAAATTAGAATTGTCAGTAGTGTTTTATTACAAGTCTTCAAAAATTTAAAGATTTGTAAATTAACTGCCCCGGTGAACTTCTTGCGATATTTTTAAGTAAACAGTACAGGCATTAGAAACAAATAAATATCAGCAAAATATTCAACGTGAGTTGAACTTGATATCAACAGGAAAAACTTATTCTTCTCACGTGATAGTTAGTAGTTGAGGAGGATTTGATTGAGAAGATCGGAAGTTCTCAACGCAAATAATCTTGGGGGCGAATCATTGTGTTGATGCAAAGCTTCAGTCCATATTTCTTTAACATGAGAAAAATATCTAAAATGTTTAGGCTTACATAACAGTTTTAAATATTTTTTTTCTACTTCCGAAATAATCTGTGACAGTGTTCTATCTTGTCAAAAAAGACGATGCATTCCTTAAAATCAACAAAAGAGACACTGTATTAAACCTGGTGATTAACGCATATCAATAATCAAAGGAGTGTGGGTCAAGTTGGCACCGTTCGAAAGATAAGATAATATTTGAACTTTAAGCTCGTATAGAGGGAAGGATACAGCAAAGAAAAAAATGACAACTTATTTTGATATAACGGTGACAAGTTATAAAAAAAAAACCCCATTATATTCCAAACACGAAATAATATTAATTGTGCGTTTGTGCATATTGGGGGAGGAGGAATTTATTTCAAAAACAAAAATTTACAGATAAAATTTTCAGTAGTAACAAGCAGAGCAAACATGGACATCAAAAACATCAGAGGTGGGATTAGATGCCCTGGGGGAGTGAGTATCCCCTGCCGACCGGTCACACCAGCCGTGTGCTCCTTTTTATGATGGGAAAATAACGGAAAAATCTGTCACCAATACTTGATATCGCGATTACTTAACTTAGCGGAACTCTTTCGCAAAGGAGGTAGGAATCGTCTGTTGGGTGGGGGCAATGTGCTATTCAATACAATGCAAGATCAGTCATTGTAGCATTTATAAGGACAGATAAGTAAAAAATCATGGTGGAATACCTCCCTAAACAATCGCTGAACCAGCCTAATATATTTTTGAGAGGAGCCAATCCTAAATTGTCACATTTTAACGATATCTTTAATTAAGCCAACTATTCTCGTTAAATTTTCATTGAAAATCGTCACATTTTAAGCAGACAAAATATTTTAAACTTTCCTTATTTGACAATCTACTATTTGGAGTTCAATATCTGGCAAAACATCGTGATGTTGGCATTAAATTGTTCGTATCATTCGATTGTCACTACTGTAAACAATGTCATTTGCCCAAGAAATTTAGACTTTTCTCGACTCCCCCGCAAATGAGCGGTAGTAAGTTAGATAACTGCGAGGTACTCATTGGTAGTCGCGATATTACGTATTCAGGGAATAATTAATGGACTAACAATTTGTATGTAAAACGTTGGTCAGCATTTCATTATATGATTAACTATCCAAATATAAAATATATAAAAATATCAAATCTCATGGTACTTGGAAAAAGTTTTCAAGCTATCCCCAAAGATAGTCATTTGAGGAAATCAAAGCTTTACATGTTCACATAAAGTAAAAAGATCTTTTCAGAAATCACTGGGAAAAGTATTGGAATCTTACTTGGAAGTTTCATAAGAATGTGTGGAATCAAATTGTTTTTCATAAAACATTACTCCTACCATTTTATACAATTTAATGAGAAAGAATAATTTAACAAAGATTCATAATAAATTAATAATTTATGTTTATCCTCTTTGATTTTTTGAAAAGTGTTGCTATATTTACTTCAATAGATACAAATGATCCTCGTTTTCACATAGATAGGGCAAATATTAAAGTTTTAGACAGCTGCTGATTTGAGAAACCTTGATATTATATCTAACCACAATTTGTCACCAAGATAAAAACGAAAATTCTGAAATATTATTGCACATCTACAGGATATTATCAACCATCTCCGAAAAGATAAATATACTACTGTGTAAAAAGAAGAGGATTTATGGGAGCCATGGGATATTTGGACAAAAAGAAATATCATTTTTTGATCCCTGGGATAAAATTGAAAATTCTGAGATATTATTGCACATCTACAGGGCACTGCCAACCATGTCCAACAGATGATTAGTCCACTGTGTAAAATGAAAGATGAGTTCAGACAACCAGGGGCTTTTTGCATAAAAAAATTATTTTTTCGACCCCCATTTGACCCCTAGGATGAAAATGAAAATTCCAAAACATTATTGCATTTTACAGGACTCCAACATCTATCTCCAAAAAGATGAATAGACTGCTGTGTAAAAAAAATCACAATACATGTATTGACATGTCCAGCAGCACTTTTCTTATAGGGTGAAAAGGATTGTATATGATTGTATATGTTGTTTTACATTCTTTTTGGAATCTTTCATTTACTATTTGCCGGTTTAGAGCTACAAATCTTGTCCTTTACTCTGCACTTAGGGCCATTGAGCAGTGAGGGATCTTTTTCGTGCCAGCACCTAAAGGAACACGGGACCTCGGTTCAAATGGTCTCATCCAAAATACCGGTCTCCATGTCGCACAGTTTGATTCGAACCCGCAACGTAAATGTTTTATTCATATAGTGGGATGAGGTGCCTAAGAGAAGTAAACATCACTTGCTCTGTTGACCACTAACAACAATAGTTCTGATGTTATTAATTACTTAACCTATGAGAATCTATCAGTGTGTAGTTAGCGTAGTACTCCAGGGCATCAAAATTAATGGGAAACGTGGGGTAATTTGCATAAAGGGCAAAGTCCGTCATGCAAAAATGTGCATAAATTTATTATGCAAACTATGCATTAATTTGCATAACGGGTGAAAGCATGCTCCGTGAAGCAAGTTTTATCAAAATAAAAAAGCTGTATATTTTTTTAATAATTACTGGAGAGCAAAAATTTCTTGTATATTTATTGGAAAAAAGGTAAAGATTCTATCGGGAAAGTTTGACCGGTTTCGTGGAAATAGTGCGCTCACAATTGAACTTGTCCGCGAACTTTTCTAACACCCCTCGTACTTAAAGCTTAAAGTCATATTTATCAGGAAATACGGAGGTAACAAACAATAATCAAACTATCAAGTCCATCGAAACGATACAAATATGGAACAAAACAAACATTAACATATGAAAATTTGGAAGGTCGGATGAGGTGCCATACAGATTAGTTTTAAGTTTGCCCTTATCGTCTACAATCAGTAAAATATTCAAATATGAAACAGATAAGGCAAACTCTATGTTGTCTTTTATTTTGAGTTAACTGGGATATATCGAATCGACATGTGATTCTTCTAATTATTATTTAATAAAGGTAAAATTTATTTGCACTATATAATCAAAATTATCAAAAAAGAAATATAATTCATATTCATGATATCGAATGATTGAAACATTATAGTAAATGGCTGGTGCATTATACAACATTAAGAGAAAGTTTGCAACATAGATTATAATTATAGAATACAATGGAACATTATATAATCTGTGATGTATATTTCTGACAAAATATACATTCGTCTGTGGGTGAATCTAATATCACAATTTATTCTGAAAGGATCATGTTATAATTTATATCTTCAGTTAGTCTCAATTTAATTATTTCATAACTTTGATAAGTAATTCTTTCTATTAATGTATCTGTATAAATGCATTTTATCTACATATGATCCAACCCATAAAAGGTGGTTTGTGTTATCATAGGCTAGGCTCCATGGCATCCTTATGTTTGGAAATGTGAATATTAGTAACAGACAATGTCCGTCTTTGTCAATGACTTGAATGGAGCCTGTGTCGCCACAACACACCAGGATGTTTGATAGTACGTCTGTACAAATCCCACAAGGTAAAATTCGTAGTCCTCCTGTAGGGGGTCCGATGTAGGAGAATCGATATCCTCCTCCACTGTCTGTTACAACCAAAGCACCACTGTGTGAAGTTCTAAAATCTGACACAATAACATCTCCATTCCTATTCTCTGTTATGTATGCAGGGCAATTATAAAGTGTCTGGCCATCGCCTTTGTATTGGATAGTTTGGGGCAGTGATCCTTTATTGTTGTATCGGGTTACTTTTGCTTCTGTATGATAGTCTTTACCTATATCATATTTACCAGAACCTACCAGTAAATCTCCATTTAACAGGGAACTGTAGATACAATGTGGTCTCCATGGATCTGATCTCTTTACTAGTGTTGACTCTGTTGTGTTGTCTTGTGAAAGTTTGCAGATGTTACCATTTTGATTCATGTAAATGAGTTCTTTTTCTCTGGTCACTGTGTGTACACCAGCACCATTATTTGTAACTGCCAGCTGATGCAGTATGTCACCATTTGCACTGGTCAAGATTAAGCTATTTTTATCACTTACCCAGATTTTGTTTGGTAATCCAAGGGAAATATGACGATACTCTGTGATACCTGTCACAACTAAAGATTTGTGAAACTCAGGTCTGATCATTTTCAGGAGAGAATCGTTTCTTACTTGCCTTCTCCCTATCCTTTTCTGTTTTATTTTCCCCATTAAACAAATCACCTCTTCCTTAATTTCATTCATTTTAGGAATTTGAAACTTCTTTTGCCATAAAAGGAATACTACTGGTCTATTTGCGGACTGTTCAAATTGATCTTCATATCTCATCATGTTTTCAATATGCTTTTTTCGATGTTGGAATTTCGATGAGATTAATTGAGACATTAATTCAGTAAATTCCTTTCGCATTTCTTTATCGATAAATTCCTTCAGTCTCTGACTTTTTCTTGTCATCTGCAACCTGATTTTGGATGTTTCCCTTTGAATCATTTTAATTTCTGTTTTCTTGTCAGATTTTATATCCGCTAGGATAGCCACATTATAAGGAAGTATATCACCTCGGAGGTGAATAATCCTGTCATTGCTCTCTTCTCTGCACACCATGCAACATGATTCTATATTCTGTGTTTCATGTTGTTGGTGTTCATTACACTTGACACAGATAGGATTTTCACAAGACAGACACCAGCGGTCATATTTTCTGCCTTTGTGTCTTTTACACGCTTCTGATATCATAACTCCATTCTTTAACTGACGTATTACTACATCATGATAAATAGTGTCCAGATCTATTACATGTTTCTCCTTACAAGGAACACAAAGGTATCTTTTACATGTGTTGCAGTAGAATTCTATCTTCCAGTGAAATGGATCACAAATTGGTAGCTTTGATATTGGTATATTATGTATATTCACAATGCTCATTTTTGTTTCAGGCTTTATGTTTGGAGATAACAAACACTGATCATGCCTAAAAGTCCACTTACACAATACAAATTATGAGCAGAGCGAACATTGATCTTTAAATCAGAAGTGGCACCAGCTTACATCATCGGAGAAACGGAAAATTCTGATGAAAAATGAAGATCTGATGTAACATATGGAGATAATGAACAGCATTCAAAATCAGAACCAATACAAAATAGTACCAGAGCAAACAAGGAACTCCAAATCATCAGAAGTGGGATCAGGTGCCATGGAGAAGTGAGCCTCCCCTGCTGACCGATTACACCCTCAGTGTGCTCCCTGTCGTTATTGGGGAATAACGGACAAATTCGTCGTCAATTCAATTTATAAATCGGTGGAGTAGTTAGTTTGAAAAACGTCGGTCAGCAGTAATTAACTCAATATTTGCTGACAAGGTCATTGTATCGACCACGGAGCTTACGAAATGATAACTTTAAATGAGAAATTCTTGTCTCATCAACTTGTTTGTAAATTATTTACCTCGTTCGAGAAATTGTTCATACGTAGAGCATGCTATTGCGTATCGAATAAACTGAGATATATAAACTTCGTATTAACATGCAAGACATCAGTCAGCATTTGGTTACACCGTGAATTAGTAAAATTGCGCTGGTATCTGAAAATAGAAAAATAAGAATCTCAGGACATTGAAAAAATAAGCTATTTCTGAGAATCTATGTCCCCCGCTTAAGATAAAAATAGCATGTGCGGATCATGCGAATCTTGGGGGTGGAGAGGGGGCGGAGGGGGGAGAATGGCGGGCTGGGCCATGGGAGGTTTTAAAATAAAATTTAATTGCAAAAAATCAAAAGCTTCTTGAAATTTGTCTGAAAATGAAAGCTTTACACGAATACAGAATGTATGGAATTACAACTTAACATTTGACCTTTTGACCTCAAATTCTCCATTAGGAAGTTGTGGTTTAAAATTTCACTGCAAATACTCAAAGGCTTCTCGAGATATCGCCTGGAAATGAAAGTTTAAGATACACATACAATGTCTGAATTTACGTCATTGATCTTTGACCTTTTGATCTGGAAATTAATAGGTTTTCCTTAGTTCATTTTGATTTGTGTTTAATTGTATTGCAAAAAACCTTAAGCTTCTAGAGATGTCACGCTTAAACGAAAGTGTGACAGTCCGGCAGAAGTACAGCTAGACAGACAGTCAGACCAAAGTCAGTATCTCCCACTTTCACCTTCATCAATGAAGGGGGGGGGGAGAAACAGGAAAGTTCACAATAAGTGAGTCTACATATAGCATGCGGTACATCTATACACTAATTTGAAAACATGCCTGATTGCAATAAAATGTAATGTAAATGTAAATGAAATGTAAGTCGACGAACGTTTAGAAGTGACATTATTTTCATTTAGGAATTTTCTGTGAGTAAAGAGAAATACAAACCTTGAACATAAAACTTCACTTTTTTTATTTTACCTATAGGTCCACTGGTGTGTTATTCAGTTGAGAGATGAAATCTTTTCTCATTGCAACATAAGACAATTTTGATGATTTTTAAAGATTCCTAACTTCACCATCTTTGATGATGTCATAATTGTCCTGTCATGCATTTCCTTAAATGTCCGAGGATCAACTAATAAATGATACCAAACAATCCAAAACTTCACACTGGTGAAATTTTCAAAAGGAAACTGGCTAAATTCTTTTCTTATAAACTAGGTCATACAGAAGGGTGTTTGAAAACAGGTTATCCCCCCCCCCCCAAAAAAAGTCAAAATACATGTTCATGATCAAATAATTTGAAAACATTTGCTCCATTTTTTCCTATCTTTCTATGTCAACAAGTAGTTCTGTTTTTATTGATCGTAAAGGAAAAAAAATGTTTTCTTTTCTCTACCAGTAAATCAATATCATACAATTTGCATACTTTACCTATAATCACACATGAGAAAGAAAACTTTCAAAATCCAGATAAACAGTAGAAACCAAAGAAAATATCAACAATTAAACTGTTATACAACAACGTAAGGACCGTTCCATTGAGCCCATGCTTCTTCCGAGTCCATTACAGATCCTGATAATATACATGTGTAATGTAATTTGGGAGGGCAGTTATTCAAGAAGGTTCTACAGAAGAAAAAATCCCGGTTTTAATATCAGCTTAAATATCTTCATATTTCTGTTCCTGAACACTTTATTGTGGTGAATTATTTAGTCTCCCTTGACTTAATTTTATTTTGAATTTTAACTCTGCGGTATTTGAGCTTCAACTTTCAAGTCAGAATTTTTGTTGTAAAATTGTAATTAACTAAAGGACAAAAACGTTTAAAACCATCCGTTTGCAATGGAAGAACTATTCATAAGCTTTGCAACTAATTCAAACAAAACTAGGGCTAATTGTAACGGGAACCGTTACAGATGTTCCCCAAACGCTTCCCAACTCCCTTTTGGTGCCATACTCCCTTTAAGCTTCATTAAAAACGACAAACTCTATGCATTTTACACTTTAACAACGTTTCCCTGAAGTATACCGAGTATATTCAAATTTTAGCATTTGCACGCGTGCACATGTAAATGCATGTGCGTAATGACCATATTCTCTTGTCTACACTATCTATATACATTAATATAATAAAATTATAAAGCATTTAATCCAAAAGTATTAAAAAATACGCTTCATCAAGTGTATTTTTGATTTTATCCATCTCATGTGCATGCACGTGCATGCATGTGCATGATGACCTTACCTTTTTGTAGGAATCCACTATGTCTATCTATGTTCTAAATCCCATCCTGTTTGGTTGAAAATCAAAGGAGTTATACCCATTTAAAGTTTAAGCCAATCAGATTGCAGCGCACGTGCATGCGCGTGTTTTCATGATACCTGCTATATATTATATTGTAGTATATCCTAATGCATGACTATGTTTAAAATTTCAAAGCATTTCGTCAAAAAACAAAAGAGATATTGAAATCTTTGTTTCGGCCAATCAGAGGGAAGCGCACGTGCATGCACGTGAGTTCGTGCTAATTTGACCATGTCATATTATCTAGACTTTTAATATATCCTTACAGAATGAGTTTCAAAGCATTTCAATAAAAAATGTAAAAGTTATGGCTATAATAAGTATGTCAGTCATTTCACTCATTTCACGCGCACGCACGTGCATGCGTATGCGCACAAAATGACCTTCGTTGTGCACACCTACACTTGACACCTATTAACCCTAAAAAGGTTTTAACTTAGTTGGGTGAACAGTTTCTGAGAACACTCGCGGACAAAAAAAGTACCGGAGAACAAAGAAGAAAAAAAAGAATAACTAGTGCTAATTGTAACGGGGACCGTTACAGATGTTCCCCAAACGCTCCCCAACTCCCTTTTGGTGCCATATTCCCTGTAAGCTCTATTAAATGACATACTTTATGCATTTTTCTTAAACGTTTTCACAGAAGAATACAAAATATATTTATATTTTAGCATTGCAAGCGTGCGCATGTGAATGCATGTGCGTAATGAGCACATCATCTCGTCTACACTATCTATATATTTTAATATACTTCATATCAAAGCATTTAATCCAAAAGTATTAAAAAATACATTCATTCAAACGTATTTTCAATTTTACTCATTTCACGTGCACACACGTGCAAGCATGTGCATTAGACCATACATTCTTGTAGCAGTTCATTATGTCTATCTATATTCTAAATCCCGTCCTGTTTGGTTCGAAACCAAAAGAGTTATAACCATTTAAAATTTAAGCCAATCAGATTGCAGCGCACGTGCATGCACGTGATTTCATGAAAATACTATGTATCATATTGTAGGATATCTTAATGCATAACTATGTTTAAAATTTCAAAACATTTCCTCCTCAAAAAACAAAAAAGAGATAGATATATTTGTTTCAGCCAATCAGAGCAAAGTGCACGTGCACGCACGTGCATGATGACCATACCTTCTTGTAGAAGTCCATTATGTCTGTCTATGTTTTAAATCCCATTCTGTTTGGTTGAAAAACAAGGGAGTTATAGCTATTTAAAGTTTAAGCCAATCAGATTACAGCACACGTGCATGCGCGTGTTCTCATGACAATTGTTATATATCATTTTGTAGGACATCCCAAAGTATGCCTATGTTTTAAATTTCATAGCATTTCGTCAAAAAACAGAACAGATATTAAGATTTTTGTTTCAGCCAATCAGAGGGAAGCGCACGTGCATGCGCGTGAGTTCGTGCTAATTTGACACTTCCATATTATCTACACTATTAATATATCCTTATATAATGAGTTTCAAAGCATTTCATTAAAAAATGTAAAAGTTATGGCTATATTAAGTATATCAGTAAATTCACACATTTCACGCGCACGCACGTGCAGGCGTATGCGCGCAAAATGACCTTCGTTCCGCACACCTACACTACACACCTATTAACCCTAAAAAGGTTTTAACTTAGTTGGGTGAACAGTTTCTGAGAACACTCGCGGACAAAAAAAGTACCGGAGAACAAAGAAGAAAAAAAAGAATAATAACTAGAGCAAAGCTCGTTGCAAAGCAACGAGTAGGTCTTCCGTCCGGTTTTGACCGGAAGTGCCGGAATTGACAGAACAAAAGAAAGCAATGAGCTAAAAAGTCTCCAGTGACTTTATAATTTCAATTTTGCATGAAAACCTTCAAAATAAGCCATTTTTTGCTACTTCCGGTTTGACCGGAAGTGACGACGACGGACCGAAAAATTACTTTTAATGCTCCCAGAGACATATGTAACCACAAAACTTGTCAAGAACGGCAAAAAAACGCGTTTTCCGACTACTTCCGGTTTGGCCGGAAGTGACGACGCCGGACGTATTTAGAGACGCCAGTAGATTAAGCTTGACATTTTGAACAACTTTGCTTCTTTGACCTCTTACAAATTCTTAATACTTTTTGACTTATGAAAGAAAAACTTTCGGCCCCTCTAGACCCTTAAATTTAGGGGCCAGCCCTTTTTT